CTCACGCCTGCTGAAGCACAGAGCGACAAGTTAAATTACATTAGATGGTGATAACACAGGATTGAGGTCACGGTTTAAAGGCTTGCACATGTTCTAATTTATGCTAAAGAGAACCAGAAAAACAGATTAGCCATTTCATTATATTAACCTGTCGATGTGCCCAGTCCTTCGTTATCTTTGTTCAGAGGAGTGTCCACCATGCCGAGGCATCCCAGGAGCTGCAGACACTTGTTCCTTACCCCAAAATATGTATCAGACAGGTGCTGAGAAGACAAAAGAGAAAAGAGTTTTGTTGCTTTGTGCACAAAGTCCTGCTGATTCCCTGAAGTATATAAACACTGAGCACAACAATGACAATGATGAGTACAGTGCATGTCACCTTGCAGGCCACCTCTATGAGCTGATGTCTGACTGCAGGACTCTCAGGTAGTTGAGTACCAATGATCAGCAGAGTGTCCAGCAGCTGGGCGAGGACCTGATGGGACTCTGCAGACACAGAGAGAAACAGAACAAACACACTCTTTGTGAAATGTTTAAATTTGTGTCAGTTGGAGGAAGAGGCAAAAAGTTTTTAATGCAATTCAATTGTAAGTTAAATATTTTTATTGCTGTGCCAAGGATTCTTGTTGCAATTTCCACTGTTCTCCTTGGGAGTTCACTGAAAATATAAAACCCTTTTAGTGCCCATATTGATAAATACATTTTAATACCATCTTTACTTAGAAAATTGTAGAAACACATCCTGCCATTTCAGCTCCACTCAATCAACATGCTTCCTAAATCCTGCCCAACATGTCTCATTACATTGTCCCATGAAAAACACTGTTCAGTGGACAGGAACAGTGTTGCTGCTTAACTGTAACAACAACAACAAAATCACAGGATTTCAAGGAAATCTTTCCTACTTACAAAAAAGAGGCAGTATTGTGTAATTATGGGTTGTTGAGTGTAAAAGTTATGAGAAAAGCAGGACAGAGAGCCTAATGTGTGTAATTGAAAAAATCCAAGATTCAGACTGTGTGTAAATGCATCTTACTCTCGGTGTTGAGTGTGTTAATGGCGTCGTCTACGATGCAGTCGGGGCTGAAACCCTGTGTTTTGGACAGCAGACCCAGCAGAGAAGCGATCTTCAGCCTCACTGAGTTATCTGTTTCCTGGAGGAGGACAACATCAGATGTGTTTTGTGTTTTCATCTTAGACACTATAGGCTTTGTATAAGCACTGCAGAGATATTTTATTACAGCTTTTCAGAGACTGTCTTTATTAAAATTCTCAGTAGTTCTTTACCTTGTAGTAGTGCTCCAACAGGATCCTGACCACACCTTCCACACTCTCTGCCTCCACAGGCTTGCGTGCAAACTGCAGTAGGTACTGTAGGGCATCAGTGGAGTTGGTGGCCTTACAGAGGTCAATATGCAGAGCTGCAGACTTACTGGGTCTGGACAGACGCAGCTTCTTGGCTGGAGCTTCTTCATGGGGAATCTGTCAACATCCAGTACAACAGTTTGTAATGGAGCATCATTTGTACAAAAAGCAGGTATGCCACCTGCTTTTTTGATATTCTCTCAAGGTGTCCAATCCCTCCTTTTCTGCTCAGAAAAATTCTTCAACATGGCCAGTTCACATGTGAATAACAAACATGGGCATGTTTATCTACAAACTGTTATTATTTTCTGTTCTTTTACTCTTGTGGGTTTGAGCTTTGCATATCACTTCTTTGTAAAACGAGCATCTGTACAAATTTGGCTTTGTTTCAAATTTGCTTTCAGCATAGGTCCAATAGTTTCATTACCTAGACAAATGTGCCACAATTACACATCTTGGTGATGATTGTAGGGACAAAGCATGGCGTAATGATGACAGAGCGTCTCGTAACTCCTGAATTAACAGCATTAACCTAAGACAATCTTTCTTCAACATAAACGTTCCTCACTACAATATAATACTTTCAAATGTATTTTAATATAATGCAATTTGCTGAACCAAAGCTCTACAAAGTAAACTCTGAAATGTTCCGTATTACTGCATAGAAGGCGTTTCGAGGTGAACCTGGAAAGATTACATATCCAAAATATGTCTGTAGTTAAGGATGAGCACTGGAGAAGAGGAACGAAGAGGGTGGAAACAGCATCCTGTCATCACTAACTAGCATTACAAGCCACACAAACGAATTAATTCATTACGAGTATACTGCCATCACTACAATATACATGTTTTGCATACGTCTTTATTTTGCATACAGTTTTATTCACAGGCTTTCTGCAAAATGCCACACACTTCAAATTCATGCCAACAGATAGTGTTGCATCCAGTAGATGTCCTCCTAGAGCAAATGAAGCTTCAAGAAGCTTTGCGCTGGAGTGAACCAATTGGATGAAAGGCTTCAATGCTTCATGAAGCTTCATCTGCCCATCACTAGTTATGAGTCCACAGCGAGCAGCGATAAGAGGTTGCTCACCTGTACAACTCTGGAAAATTCTTCATAAACTCGCTTTTTCAGATGTGCGGCCATGTTCAAAGAAAATGGTTAGCAAAGCTCGTCTCCTCAGCAGCAACTTAAATTGTCCGTGTTCACTTCCCGTAGGCTACGTACTGTGGGGAAAGTAAAACGCGTTTTGTAAATTACGGGTTATAAATTTATAGGCTGTATCTCTAATGTCATTTAGATAGAAAATAAGTTTAATCCGTACAACAATACAATAGTTTGCTTGACTTGAACATACTGACATTTAGGATATTGCTACAGCATTTATTATAAAGAACCAGTTTAAATAGATTTTTCTTTAACATAGGAGAAGGTGTAACCACAGACTGGTCAGTGGCTTTGCAAGAAAGAAAAAGCACAACTATTTCCTGTCAATACACTCAATAATAGTTTCATCCTTAGTTAATATATTATTTGTTTTGTAATGCAGGGGATTAAGAACTTAATATCTAACTATGAAATGTTAAAAAATATATTTACAGGCAAAATTAATGGCACTGTTTTAGAAAACACAGACAAATCAAATATTCAAGACAACAAAATAGTCATAAATACTGTATTTCTAGACAGCATTTATTCTGTGATTAAATTGAACATTTACTCATAAAATTTACATTGTCACAAGTCATCATTTTTTGAACAAATAAAAACAACTCATTCTAAATGTTGTAGCTTTTTAAACACAGCATAGTTCAACCTACAATTTATCTTAACCTTCACCCAAATAAATATTGAGAGTTTATGAACTGATTTCATTGACAGACTGTTTGTCAGTGTCATGATGATCTGCATCCACAGCTGCTTAGTACAAACCTCCCTCACTGCAGCAGCTGCCTGGTTCAAAGGCACTTTAACACGAGTTACTGACCACCCCTTTCATTTGATTTAACCTATTTATATCACAATATTTCAGCGAAACAGGTCCTATTTGGACCCAGATAGAACATAATAAATGTTAAATTAAAGATGAAGATTGCTTTTGTAGAGTTTAGTTTTAACTGGCAAATTACTGACACTAATCTACATTATCAACTGTACTACAAGTACTTCTGTTACTTACAATTAACACAACTGCTAGCAAAGCTTTTACTTCTAATGGCAAAGGTTGCTGTTCATTAACTGATGAGAAGAAAGTGACAATTAGTTGCTCAGCATTTTAAACTTCAAGTAACATACAAAATTTCCAAGATGTTTTAAATATAAATTTAATAAAGTATACACAGAAGAATGATGTTTGTGCTGTTGTTGCCTCTGAGTATCATGTCTGATTTTTCCAGTTTCTGTGTAAAATGATATACACTTGCAAACTGTCATATCTGTACATTACTATTTGTTGCCTGATAAATGCTATGACCGTAATCTTGCCGTTATAAATAAAAAACAAGGTGCAGGAGTTTGTTTTGTTTTGTACTTACCTTTATGGTTCATTTCAGCGATCACCCAAAATAGTTTTAGGTTTTGAAATTTGAAAAATGTTTTTAATAAACTATAAAACTGTACTGTTGTGGCAGTACAGCCTGTTACCACACAAAACAAATGAAGCTTCCTGCTTTTAGCTATGATTCATGTGCTTAATGTGAAGTTTATACTTTTGGGCCAAATCTGAATTGTAACACAACACATTTGGAACATGTCCAGATCCATGGGACCAAAAAAGTAGAGAATCCTGATTAAGGGCCAAACCAACACAAGAATAGATACAGTGATCAACAAGTTTCCCTGAACTTGACGCTGGCTGCAGTTTTTTTGGCCCTCTTACGGTCGTTTCTCCACGTGAAGAGTCCCACTATGATCACCATGACAGGCAGAGCCACACAGAGCACGATGCGGCTGATGGGCAAATGGACTGGACAATGCATGGCAGCTGACGGAGTCAGACTCTGGACAATGGGAGGATTTTGAAACAAAAAGGTGGATGTGAAGTCCTGAAATGCTGCTCTGCTAGTTTCTGTGGTGTTCACCTGGCACCTCCACTTCCTGTTGTTGTCCTCCATCTGGAGTTTTGTTACCAGAGTGATGTTGCAGCGTGTTTGGCCAGTCAGCTCATACCTGCGTTAAGGGGAGTTTAGACAAACATCATACCGCTGTCATTCATATAGTTGAAGGTGCAATAATTAAGACTTTCCACACTGTGTGATCAACCCAGTGTCAGTGGGACAGGATGTGGTGTCCCTCAGCTACACTTTCAAATAACTTTATAATCAGTAAATCAGTTACAATTAGTCTTTTGATATTGTTGATTTTTCTTACAAATTATGTCACAGTGCAGCTAGACATGGAACCGAAGTGAAACAGGTACTTTACAAATTTGTGGGTGTAATATTATTCTTAGTACTTTGTTAAATAAAACATAATGTTCCTAAAACAAATCAAACTTTCTTACAACACAGTTCAGATGACTAGTAACAGCAACACGATAGAAAACTGACAACCTGCTGTCTGTGGCCAGTGAAGTCCCGTCCTTGGCCACCCAGCTGAGGCTGAATGCGCTGGAGTATGATTTGCAGCTCCCAGCATCATAATAAGTGAACAGGATGCAGCTCAGGATGAGGTTTCCTCCCAGCTGCAGGTCAGTGATTCTGGAAACTGAAGTGATGGTGAGGAGTGAGAGGTAAACATCAGTGATGGTCTGTCCCTGGTGCAGGCAGACGTAGGAGCCCGCATCATCAATCCTGAGGTCACGGAGGTGGAGAGAGCAGTTGGATGTGATGGACATGCGGCTGGATTTGTCGGACTCTGCCCTCACCTGTCCCCAGCTGACCTCCTGAGTGTACCGCACCTGGCCGCCCTTGTAGAAGGTCCAGAAGATGTGTGAGCAGTCTGCAGAGACCAGACCAGTGCATGGCAGCAGGGTGTCGCCTCCGACTCTGCTGTACACAAACGCACCTTTTGCACACCTCACACCTAGAAAAACAGTGAAGCGAGAGTTCAGATATCCATAGAAATGATACAAACACATTTTTATTTTTCTATTTTTTTACAAATTCCCATTGTTTTAACTAAAACTAGTTTATATAAGTGTGAAATCCCCCTGAAGCCTTTGGCCACCATCAGTGATCTACAGTGTAGTAGGACATTCCCACATACACACATCACATTTGGACTCATTGGTTCAGAATGCAGTAGCGAGGAGTTTAATGAATTCAATAGCTGATCCTGGCTTCTCTTCGCTGGCTGCCTATTTCTTTTAAATTAGTTTAAAAAGTTTACTAGTAGCCTCCGAGGCTAAACGATGCTTAAGTCCCCTTTTTAAAACATGCTTGTAGAGACAGGCATTTTTATTTGAACTTTATAAGTGAAAATTGAAAATTATAAGTTGTGTTTTAATATTTTACTCTGTGTTTTATTGATCTCAGTCTTTTGGTGTTTTTTTCACTGTGAAGCACTTTGTAACTATTGTTTTGATATGTATAAACAAATAAAATTATTGTTATTTATTACTTATAGAATGCAGACAAAAGAAAAAGAGTGAAATTCTTAAACAGAATTCGAAACCAGAAACTGAAACCAAAAATTGGGTATAGGCATGAAAACCGAATCAACTCCACTCACGGAACAAGCATGGTAGTTAAAATTGTGATGTACTTATATTTAGTGTTTCCATTTTGTGCTGCTCTACTACATTTAAGTCAAAGTCAAAGTGTTTATTTGTCATATGCACAGTTAGGAAACGTGTTTCCCTGTACAATGAAATTCCTACTTTGCCGTCCACATGAATGTCACAAAATACAAATGAAATATAAAGTAGATAAATAAGTAACACAAAATCTAAGGCACTTTAAGCAGCAATATAATAAAAATATATAAGAATATAATAAGAGAATGTATGCCAACAACATAATACTTTTTATTTCACTACATTTCTTTGACAACTACAGTTTTTAGATACTTTTCAGATTAAGCATAACATTCATTTTCTACCAGTGAACTGACTCATGGCTGCAGCTCTAGGACACTGAATGGCTTCATGAACATGACACCCGCCGTGGGTCGGACGCAGCGGGGTCGGACGCAGAGAGGGGATCTGGTTTGGAAGGACGAGGTTTCCTTCTCCAACAGAAGAGACCTGACAAGGCTCTGGAGATGCGGTACTAACTAATAAGCCACTAGTTTTTACTTCAATTTCTTACCCAGCTATATATATATATATATCACACAGGGGACTTTTTTTGCAGAACCAGTACTTTTGCTTTTAATACTTATAGCACTTCATTTACCACTGACTGAGAGAAATCCAACCCTAAACAGAGTAAAATAAATGGTACCTGTTAGAAGCAGACCGGTGAGCAGCAGAACTCTCCACAGGTTTTTAATGCCCATCATGTTTGTGTGTTCACCTCCACAGCAGCTCTGTTCGTCTCTGCAGCTGCAGCTCGTTCTAGTCAAAAGATTTCATTTCCTGTGTTAAACTGAACTGAACAGGGCAAACATCAGCCCCCATCTTTACTGTCATGATTTGTTTTGTTTTATGAAACCTGCTACTTAGACTTAAAAAAAACTAACACATACAGCTGAATTAGATTTGTGGCACTTATGAGACTTGACTTACAGTATGTCTTTTTTAAAATTAATTTTCATGACAGTTTTCTCCCCACATGATGCTGTGTGATGTGTAAACTTTCTCTTCTAATTTGCTGTAAAAATTATTTTAGTTATTAATTAATTATTATTGTTTCTGACACAAATCAGCCAGTTTCAAGTCTTTTCAACAACAAAATGTATCTCTCCTTCCTTCTCAGGCACAGTAGTCTGCCTTATTCTTAAGGAACTGAAGTTATTTCATCCCACTGACTCAACACACTGAAGTTATTTCATCCCACTGACTCAACACAAGTCAAGCGGACTTAACTGTGGTTATTTTGCTCTTATTAACCTCACCTGCTGACATCTTATTAGTGTTTAGTTATGCTTTTGTCACTGTCAGTCTCCTAATTTTTTTAATTTCCTAATTTAAAATTAAACCGAGGTAAAGTGATTAACCTTGTGACCCTCTGATTGTGTCATTTTTCTTATATGATCCAAGGTGTGAAATGCAAGCGTGTCACTTTTCTTCATCGGGGGCTTTTTAACAGGAAGTACTATTGTAACAAACTGTGGTGAGAGCACCGTAGCTAGCATGCCCACACTTGCCGTTTCTCTGAACAAAGCATAGAACCTCACTATGACCTGGCCTTAATTTTTGGTGGTGAACCAAAATGATCTTTTACATGTATCTGAGCTGTTCCGTTAAACAAACCATGTGAGAAATACACTGTCCTCCAAATGTTGAAAAACACGAGTTTACAGCCACACCAGTGGCTCTGTATTAAAGCCATGTTGCTTTGAGGTAAATGCTATGGCCAGCTGCAAAGCTGGTAACAGAGACGTCTCGGTTGACGTTTCTGTGTAGTATGGGGCTAGCCCAAAACAAAATTGATCTTTTACTTGGATCTGAGGTGTTCCGTTAAACAAGCCATGTGAGAAATACACTGTCCTCCAAATGTCGAAAAACAAGAGTTTAGAGCAACACCAGTGGCTCTGTATTAAAGCCATGTTGCTTTGAGGTAAATGCTAACGTCAGAAATAAAGCTGGTAACAGAGACGTCTCGGTTGACAAATCGGCACTGTTTTGAAGTTACTTGGACTGTCTCGTCTCTCAGTTAGCAATGGTAAGAAGAACCAAAAAGACCCACAGTACGATGCCATCTTCACCATCTTAGTAACATTTGCCAAGCAGTTGAACGGTGCAGCTGAGGCTAATGGGAAGGTCATTAGTTTGCAACTGTGTGGTCACAAACCAAAGGGCTGGAGAAGTTTAATGACGATTTTATGAGTCTCGTCTCTCAGAGTTAGCAATGGTTTATGGTGCTTGAGGACAAGTCAAAGTATCACCAGAGTTACTATGATTCAGCCTAAGGGAGATATGAATGAGTTGTTGAGCGATTTTACTCACATTAAGACTCAACTTCATGGTAGCGCACTGGATTCATCCTATGGGGACCACAAAATGTATGCAAAACACTTTCATGTCAAAACCATCTAGCTGTTTGTGAGATATGTCAGTGTGGACCAGAGTGGGAGACGCCAACAACGCCCTGCTTCTGGCAAGGCTGAAATCCCTGTGAGAGGAAAAACACCAAATGCAGTTCCACCGGCTTTCTTATTCAGACAAGACAGGATACTTCTAATTTTATATTTTTAAGACATTATAGTTGAAGACATCAGCTGAAGTGTATCCTTAACACTGAGGTGAGTTTCTGCCCTTATCCAAACACTCAGAGCAAACAGGACACACCAGCAGAATATGGACCTGACCACAGTCGGCTCTAATCTCAGGCCTTTCTGCTGCAGGACAGTGTTATGTAACCACTGTGTTGTGTTGATCTGTTCACACAGGAAGCGGTCTGACATGAAGGTGCGCTGGCTGTCAGATAGCCTGCTCAGATCTGTGGTGAACACCGTGGTTGCATCTCCGCTTTCTACCGGCACTTAACTTTCATGGCATGTTGTTTCTTTTAATTTGGGCTGTAGAGTGCCCACTGTTGTGACTATGACGCAGTATTTTCCAGAACTGTGAATTATTTCACACTAAACTTACTTACAAGGGGAAGTCTCAATATACAGTATGAAAACGTGTATGAAGTCACAAAATCTACCACCACACTCCGGAGAGTTGTCACCACATCTCTGACACAGCGGTGCAAACATGAACCTGCACAAACATATAAATTCCCTGCATTGTCCTGTTGTAGAAGAAACAAGCTACTTCCCAGCTCTGTGGGTAGAAAGATGATTTTGTAACTGTATGATTAGTTTATTTAAAGTTTAGCAGTAGTAAAATATGATTTCACTGACAATACATAGAATGTGATCAAATATCCATATTTAGAAGCACCTCAAATTAATTATAAGACATTAAGAAGTTATGGCAATAATACTTTGGTGGATGCAGCACTTTATCTTAACCCACCATACCTTATAAATTACCTGCGTTTTTCTCTTGTGTAATTTTGAAAACTGAGACCTTATTTTACAGTAGATGGTGCGTAAACTTACATATAAATAACCTGGAAAACCTGCAGCAACTTGGTCAGCCTTTAATAACTAACTTGTTAAAATGTTGCATGTTACTCTTAGAAACATTATGTACAGTTTCCACTTCTGCAGAAAAGCATCACCACCAGGTGAATATGAGTTTGTAGAAGTAGTTGTAGGTCCTGGACAGGAAGCTCCTCTCCATGACGTGAGGCTGGATGCTCACCCTGTAGCCCTGACCCTCAATGTCCGTCTTTACACAGTCCAGCAAGTCTTTGACAGATGGGATGGCCTTCCACGGTCCAAAAGTCACCACCGACTCCTTATCCGCCTCCAGGCTGTTGATGGCTGAGTCATAGAAACTCAAATCTTCCTCTGTTCGCAGTACACAGATCATGATGGTGGAGTGGCGCGCAGCAATGGCCTCGGCTCTGGCGATACGAATCAGCACCTGGAAGAAAAGAGAAACGACCATTCACGAACGATTCACCACCGGCTCATGAACCATTTCCCCACTGCAGATTTACATTTGAAAGGCTTCTTTCGGTGTCTTTGCAGGTTTGATGTATAGCTTCATCGTGATGGTTATATCATGGCTACATTTGGTCTCAGGTTCTGACAATTCATGGTTTTTTTTCACATGGCTCCTCCAGCAGTGTGTTGTGCTAACTGACTGCTGTGTGACATCATTGGTGGTAAAACAACTAAGTCACTCAGAACGTTGTTCTGCAGAGCTTTGCCGATTCATATTATGATATCAAAATGACATCAGCTGTTTCAAAGACTCCAACCAGAGACATGAATCCAGGGCTGTAAAACTGTTTTGCTGTGACATGATTAACAATCTCATACGTGTTCTGCACTGTCCCAGAAGCAAGCAATCCAGATCTGTGGGTATTTAGCAGGAGCTCTGATTTCTTTGTCTTTTATAGCTGGTGCTCTTTTTTTTCACTCTTCACAAAAAAGTGTCACCTAGAAACTCAAGCTACATCAACGCAAACATAGTACAAGAGAGAGAGCTGAGAAGCAAAGTTGGAGCAGTTGGAGACTGCTGTGGATTCACAGGTTGTTGGAATGCAGTGGATTTTTGTTAGTAGTTTGTTTCTCTGTTGTCACTACACCAGTGGGTGTAGCCTACCTCAATGTTCTCCTTGTAGTGCGGGACTCTGGAGAGGAACTGCTGCCTTCCCACCAGCTCCCCAAAGAGCTGAGGCATTTCCTCCAGACGTTTGATCAGTGGTTTGATGTTGTAGTACACAGCCTCCCTGTGAATGGGCAAAAAAACACACACACACACACACACTGGTTCATACATGCAGAGAGATGACATTATTAAAAACTCTTAAACCAAAATCACTTCTGTTTCAGATGTGAGAGGAGGAGTTCTGTTTCACTGAGCCTCTCTAAAAATGCCTTAGTCTTTCTGTAGCAGTGAACTATCAGCCAGGACTCCTCCTCTAAAGCAGGTGATCGAGGCTCTATCAGGCTGATGGTTACAAATCAAAGTAGAGGACTCAAACCTCGTGGATGTTCGCAGTGGGCAGCTGCTGTGATCTCAAGAAGTCGAGGACAGCTCCAAAGTGTGAACCATCCCGGTCAATGAAGTAGCGTCCATGTGGGTCGGTGCCTAGTTTTGGCTGTGCGCTGAACAGCTCTGCCAGCTTTGAGTCAGGGTGTTTCCTGAGCGTGCTCAGAGAGGTGCTGAACAGGTGACCTCCGACATTTAACTGCACAACATGAGAGTGCTGTGGACAAGATTATTCATTTAGTTTTTGAAACATTTCTCCTTTTGTTTGCCTGTCTGGATGGAGCTGGTGCACCGCAGCTATGGAGAAAGCTTTTTTAATGTTTTAACATGTCCAGTAGAAGAGACAAGACCTGATCTGACAACAGACATTTCATTCGCAGTTGCACATGAAGTAGGTCATATTGAGTTTCAGATAATATTTCAGTAACTGTCTGCAGTTTCTTTAATGTCAGAGAAACTGTAAAAAAAAGAATCTGTTCATTATCCAGTTTACAGATGTCATCTCTCTGTGCACTGGTTTCACGCATTTGTGAAGCAGCTACTGGTCACACTGGTCTATTAACAAACATTTAGATCAGAGCTGGGCTGATATGAAGAGACATTAGTTCACCGCAGATGTGTCAGTACCGATACATCTGCTTTAAAGAATATGACAGACAATAGGTAACGTGAAATTTAGGGCTGCAGATCATTTTCATTATTGATTAATCAAGTGATTTTTTTTCTCAATTAACTGTTTAGTCTGTGCCACAAATTAAATTCCCAGCAGTTTTCCAGAGCCCAAAGTCACATCTTCAAAAATCTTGTTTTGTCTGAAGCAGACATTTTAAATTATTAATCAGCTTTGAAAAGAGTCTAATATATTAAGCATCACATTGTTTCAGGTCTGGTGAAACTGCCAGAAACACCAGAGCTGTTTGCAGCCATTACACAGTTTATCCACCAGAGAGCACTGACTAAAGTATGTTGTGCAACCACTGGCACTCTGTTTCCTCTTCTAGTGTAGTGTTCTCTTTTTCTTATACTAATGATGTTTCTTTCAAAAAAACTAAACAAAAAAAATGATATTTTTCATCCAGGACCTGCTCAGTTGGACATAAACTGTTAATATCAAATGTAAGGGACCCTTGTCAAAAATGATTGTTATGTTCTTATTAAAAATATAGGAGTATATTTGTATGCATTAATACATTATATTATTTTATAGTATCTGCTCCGAATCAGTCAGGCTATAATTTGGATAAACACTTAAATTCAATTCATTTGATGAATTTACACACTTATTCAAAGTGTGTACTCAGTAACTTCAGTTTGGGCGTTAGCATGAGTCGCACACACGTACTGTATTTGCTTTGCTCAGGTTGATAAGAGCACATGCCTCTGCCGTCTGTCAGCAAATCGCTCTGCTCCTCCGGAAACATCCAAAGCAGCAGTCGCATCAGGCGAGCGGTGCCAAGTCAACGTCACAACACAGAAAATGACTTTTGTAGTTTTTCCATGTGAAAACCTTAAACTGGAAATCCATAATGAACAATGAAGAATAGGAAACTAATCTTTAAACTTAGAGTTTAGGTTGGATCAGACGGACAGAGCAAGTTCAGTGGTGCAAACTAAGTATTGTGTTACAATTTTGAGGCAGCTGTACTTTGTGTATTTCCATGTTCTACTACTTCATACTTGGACTTCACTACATTTCAAAGACAAATAGTGTACTTTTTACTGCACTACATGTGTTTGGTAACTTTAGTTCCTTTTCAGAATCTGGTGAATTAAACCAAATACAGTAGAATCATCAGACTCTATTGAACGGGATATTCACAAGCAGCAGTGTGTGAAGTACTTCAAACTGTAAGTATATAAGGTAGTTAACATTAGCTCCACCTTTACCAGCTGCAACATTAAAGTGATGAACACAATGCATCAATAATTATATACAGTGAGTACTTCTACTGTTGCTACTTGTGAGTAGGCATATACCTTCCACCACTACTAATACAATGTACCTTTTCTTATTGTGACCCAACAGTGATCCTGCTGTTTTCTGGTTCTATCTGATCCAAACAGGCTGTTAAGCATTTACCTACTAATTAAATGACTGCATTCAACAGAAACAAGCCTGTGCAGCATCATAAACACAATTCATACTTCATCTCTCTTGTACTCACAAGCAGCTTCATAGCAACTCATCTGTGGTAAACAGTAACCAAGTACATTTACAGCAAGTTCCTGGTACTGGTCTTTTGTTCTTGTTCTTCTGTACAATAGGAAATACTATACGTTTAACGCCACTGGATTTATTCGATAGCCATAAATACAAATGAAGATTTCACACAAGGCTAATAAAGTGATGACATACAAAGCGCCCATGAAGAAGAAATGATTCCCATATACATACACATGTAGTGGAGCACAAAGTACATTCCCTTGTGAAATGTAGTGAGGTAGCTTGTCCAAAAAGTACCAAGTACAGTAGGTTTGTGTAAATGCATCTATTTTAAATTTGTGCACATTTCACCGTTATACACTAAGTGTATGGAGATGTCAGGTAGAAAATGAAGAGGTTTTCAGACAGGAGACATGCTCTTGTTTCTGTCTCGGGAGTTTCCTCCACGTTAGATCTCTAACTATTAGAGAAAAGAATCGCTCTTCTGTCTAAAGTTTAACTAACACACAAAAATCGTTAACGAATACTATTTGCAGTGAATAATGAGCTCACTATGCATGAAAGTAGAAAAAACCCCTCCGGTCCTCGTTCTGTCTAGTCTGCACCTTCATCCACCTGTTGTGTCACTCAGCAGGTAGAAAGTTTAGTTTAAGTCTCACTACGACCCGAAATATTCCAAATATAAAATGTATAGTAGGATTTTCTTACTGGAACCCCGGGTAAAGACGGTTTGCTAGCTGATTTGTAGTCCGGCAGACTCATCTTGTCCTCGGTGCTTATGCAGATAGGAGCTGGGAGCTCTCACACAGCTCCACAGGTGGGAGAAAGGGGGCGTGGCCTAACCCGGACCTGGAGTTTCAGTGCAGAGGCGATGAGTCACTCGGTGGCAAAATCTTTGACCTTTTTCTTGATGCGTTGTTACATAAACGTTTATAATAACGAGATCATGTGATCGCTGCACAAAACAAGCCGGCACAGACTGATCATTCAATTTAAATCCAACGGTTTATGTTGTGGACCTATGTCACGCGTTTTGTTTTCTTCTGTGACAGATTTATTTGCATTAAAGCAAAGAGCCATGATTACAAAACATATTAAAAATTACAGGAACATTTTCTTTGGATGTCTTAATTTATTTAGTCCAAACTTACACTTCTTTATCATTTTGATTTGGTAAGTTAAGATTTTTGTCATAATTTTAAATAAGTTCAATCTTTTTACTTCATAACGTGTGAATTTTTTTTATTGACAGAACTATTTCTATATATGTGCACCTTATTCAAGACAGATGTCTGAATTAACCAAACTTCATTTCTTAAATATGGATAAAACTGCAACATTTCATTTTTATGTGCATTTCACATTCGACTTCCTCCTGACAGGTAAGTATCATGTGACTAAAACGTCACCATGACTCATCCTAAACAAACTATAGCAAGGTCTGAGTCACTAAAAGTTAGAAAATTGTTTAGCAGATACCTGAAAAATCCTTCATCCAAAATAGTGAAACAAAGTTGAAAAAAAAAAAAGAAAGAGAAAAGATCTTAATTCTCTGAATGCTGTTTCTATCAAAATAAAGCCCAAGACCTGTCCTGTCGAAGTCTGACATTTTATTTCTGTACAAAAACTGATAATTGTTTTAAGGTCTGGCGACATTTTGGCTTCCTCTATTTTATAGTATTAAAAGGCGAGATTTGCTTCTCATTAAACATCTGAGTAAACCTCCTTTAACACCATGTGCAACAAAGTGACCACAACACATGAAGTGGATTTTCCAGATTTTATTATTTTTGTACACAAAAAACACAGGGTCTTGCTTCCATCAGGTGGAACGGTTGGAAAACCTGCAGGGGGAAAAAAAAAAAAGAGATTAAAACCCACTGACCAAAGCAGGGTTATTGCTTAATGTTTCCTTAATATGGTCCAAGACAAAAAACAAAAAACATTCATATATTCGTTTCCTCATGACTCTACAATGCCTTTCACCAGGTCAAACCACTTGTGAACACAGCGCTGACTGATCCTGACAACTGGCAGGCTTATGTGGATTCACATCGGTTTCATTTCTTGCTTAAACTGGTTTGACTTCAGAATATAAGATTGGCAATCTGAAATATTAAAGGTTCAAGTAATTTTTGTGCTTTAATTTGGGCAAAGCTTAATTTGTACTTTAAAGTTCTCCCTGTGGTCAGTGACAGATTCTCTACAGTAACCTTTGATATGTCATTTTAAAACCCTAATGGTGTGTATTGTTTCAACCCTTCTCAGACAAATGCCTCGATGTCTTCAACCAAAAGGGACCCACTGGACCTGGGGAACAGGAGCAGGACCACAGAACGTGAATCTGAACCCGTTACCATCAGAACCAGATGGAGTCCTGTTCCGACTCGTCATCGTATCATCACTGAAGGGACAGAAATTTGGATGAAAACGACTATTTCCTGCTTCCTTCACTAATATCCTCCTATGAAGTGGGCAGATAAAGCCGATGAAGCTGCACCACTGATGTCACTGTATTAATTGAAACCAATATTCACACAAACACGTACACACTAGTCATGACAAAAACATGTCTTGTGTGCCATCAGATGGCCAACGTGTGCAGCATCATGATCACAGCTTTGGTCAAGACTACTAACTTTGTCCATGACATTGTCAACTTGTTCTCATGGAGCTAAATTATGATTCTGTGGTGCCCATTAATCCAACAGAGCAATTATTCCACTGTTGGTGCTGTACTGAACCCTGGATCAATGTTCAGGACCAAGGGATGGATTGACAGATTTATGTAACTATTTCATATTAGGTTATACTTATTTTCATGATGTTTTTGTTGTTTACGTTTATTCTGTAGTTTGAGGTGCAGTATCCCTTGGAGGCTGACTATAGCATCTGTGTCCCCCTCTCAGTGGCTAATAAGGACTCAGACAGGTGACAAATGAAAGGACAACCCAACCTAAAGTCCCAGTGAGGTGCCAGGCCACCAGAACAGCTCCACCTTGGCACTGACTCTGCAAACGTCAGAACCCCCCTGGAGGGATGAACACCTTCCAACAGATGTTCCCTCATGTAGTGTTTGATGACAGTTGTGAAGACGCTGTCTAACATGTTGCTCCAACATCTCCCATAGCTGTTCAACTGGGCTGAGACCTGGTGACCGGGAAGGCCACAGCATCTGGTTCACATCATGGTCGTCCTCATCAGACCAGTCAGTGACCCCTGGTGTCCTGTGGATGGGGGGGGCACTGCCATCCTGAAGGAGACCACTCTGAAATTCAGGGTTTTCATTTCAGATGTCACCCATCTGTATCCGTGCTCTCTAGTTTACATGTTCTGTCAAGTCACCCTGAACCAAAATGCACTGGTAAGATAAAGATCTTCCCAGTTTACCACTGCTGTAGTTGTTTTCTCCACAATATAACCCCAGCCTGCAGGTGAAGAGCCCCTCCTGTCTCTTACCCTCCTATGCAGTGGGCACAGCTGCCTGGGGCATGACTGGCACCTCTGGCTTGGCCCCCTTCTGCTCAGACATGGGTGTGGTGGGCAAGACCTCCTCCTTGGGCTCCACAATGCTGACATGGTCGGGCAAGGGCTTCTTGGGGCCAATCTTACCGCTGGGGTCCCAGGGGAGCATGATTTTCACCTTGATGCCTAGCACACCTGAGGATGCCCAACAAACACAGCAATAAATTTCCAATCTCACCAGTTACGCCAAAGCTTTGAAGAACAAAGCAAATTTACAAATGCATTTTTTGGGGGGGTGGGGGGTGTTACCGCTGAGTTCCTGGTGGAGCTGTACTCACCCTGCCTTAGCAGGACGTGGCGGACTGCTGTGTCGACATAGTAGTTGACAGGGTCTCCGCTGTGGATCATCAGACCATCCACAAACTTCATGGACTTGGCCCTCTGACCCCTCAGCTTGCCAGACACCACAACCTCACAGCCCTTGGCGCCGCTCTCCATGATAAACCTCAGCACACCATAGCACGCCCTGACAGAGGGGAGGTGGGGAACAAAGCAGACGAGAACTGAGTTTTCTTTAAACTTTAGTTACTGTGCACTGACCCACACTGCTCTGGACAGCCAGGTGCTCTACATTTACTTTAACCACGTTGCTTTAAGCTGCTAAAACAGCGTTTGTCTTATATTGTACTAGGTCGCTCTTAATAATAGCACATTAACTGCTGCTTACTAATGATATTAACTGTACTGGATTTACATAGAACTGAAGCATTCAAGTACAACAATACACAAACACTGAAACCACTGTCCATGCAGATTCTCAGTCATCCAGGTCATAGTAAGCTGAAAAAACAGAAAACAAAATTCAACTGGACGTAAAATGTCTTCAACCTAAAACCAAGTCCAACTAAATTTTGTTTTCTAGGCTTTTTTTCCAACTGAAATCACTGGTTTAGTTCTAGTTCTGTGGTGAGCAGCCATCTCCGAACGCTTTTCATATCCTTCGTATTTTGTGGTGGTTAGCCTGCATGCAGATGATGGAACATGCTGTCAAAGGTCTAACAGCAACCAATTTCCAGCTGTTTCCATTTTACTGTTCTTTGATCAACATCTGTCTTTCACAGCCAAACTATCTCCATGCCACTGAGGATGATCCACATCCAGCATTTAAATTAACAATGGAGATTGTGAGACTTATGGTGTCCGTGGTTCGTCTCAAGGTACTTTCACTTGTTTAAAATTTTGCTAATGCATTTTTGGTTAGCTACCATAGCTTAACTTGTGGTGCAGTGATCATGTACATGCACCCTCATTGTGCACAGGCAGATGTCCGTCCAACTAGGCTACATGTCACAGGGAAAATGTGTGGCCTCTCAAGGTGTATTTTTGATTGTTTTTTGCAAAGTGAGTGACAAACTTGGTAATACCAGCTGTCACATTGTTAAAACTAAGATTAAGATACAGTACATATGCTGCATGCCCCTACACTGAAGGGACAAAAACTCAAACACTTCACCCTGACAAGAGATCAGTGAAAACAGAGGCCAGTTTGTGTGGTCAAGGCTATCCTGACATTTCTGATATCATTAAATCACTTTGCACAAACATGTCATACTCACTGCCTTTTCTGTGAATACAAGAATTTTTGTTGTCTGGTTTTATGATGCTCCAATTATGTTTATTATAAAAATGTCTGTTTTCATGGTCTATTTATGATTTTACAATGATTTTCCTGAATTAGTGTGCAATAAACCATACGTTCATTACAAACGTTCACACATTAAACATCCAGCAGAATGCAACCCTAAAAAGAGGTACTACAAACTATTCACAAGTTTTACTCTTAAACACACTTTTTTCCAAACTAAGTGTTGTGGTATGGCCAAGAGGAGACCAGTGATGCATAAAGTGATTTTGGTGACACTTGACTACTCTAAGAGTGAATATTTTTGCACTTTGTAGACAGTCCCTGGGCCCTCGTCTTGTTCATTGTTGTGGGTATGTCTGAATGAAGCCCCGAGGACCAAAATGTAAAATGTCTCAAGGACAGACGTGTTTATCAGACTGATGAAGTAACAGTGTTACGTATCTCACGATCTGAAAAGGGCCATACCATATAAACACACATTGCAGCACAATCTCAGCCAAGAACAGAGACTAAGTGGTCAACTAGAAAATCATCAACCCCCATACACACATTTTGTCAGCTAATAGTAGTAGAGTATTTAAACAATGTAGGCTATGTGCAGAATCTTTATGAATTCTAACAAATCTTTCATGTTCAAGTTTCTCAAGTTATGTTACATGATTTACCACAGAGCTTTATTACTGTCATGTTATGATAACCACCTGCAAGAATAAGGCCAGAGCAGTGCATTGGATTAGTTCTGTCAGTGACTGTAAATGCTACCAGTGCCTGTACAGCACTGCTTACCTACGCACAG